CCATATACCCTACTCCACGTTCAAAAAGTTGTCATGGAGAGTGTGCCCTCCCCCAGCCCTCAAGTGGGTAGCCCACGGTGACTGGGGAATTGTTGCAGTCCTCGGGAAAAAAAATCTCTCTTCTGGAATTTGGTTTCTGGCTCATAAAGGTAGCTGATGAATGGGGTCTTATGAATCATTGTTCAGTCTTTCCATGCTCACTGCCTGTCTTTGAGGGAGGGGTTCTCAGCATCTAATATGGGGCAAGAGCACAGAGGCTCAGTGAACATTCATGGAGTTGCATAACCCACTGCCATTGAGCCAATGCCTACTTGGTACAAGTCTACACTGGCGTCTGAGGCTGTACGTCTTTATGGGAGCAGAGAGCTTCATCTTTCTTCCGAGGGGTGGCTAGTGGGTTTGAACCACTGACCTTGGCGTTAGCAGTTCAGTGATTATTGGACAGCGCCATCAGTGTTTAGCAGTGTCCACTTCCTAAGCAACTTGCACAAAAATTGTAACTCTGCTTTCTGAGAATCAGTATAACAATTTTCAACCTGTTTTACTTTATCTATTACCCGTAGGAGTTTTGGGAATGCACTTGGAAATTGTATTTTGGACAAAGACTACCTGAGGTCACTAAATAAACTTCCACGCCAGGTATGCTGGAAACAGGTGGATGGAGTAAAGACCATCTGCTTCATCCTGACTTGTCATCATGGGTTCAGTATATGGAGGGAGGATAGGGGTTGGCAGGGGAGGGAACAGGAGGGGAACTCACTTGTTTTAGTGGGCTGGGCTGGCAAGTATGCTTCAGACCCCTCTGAATCTTAGAGCCAGCAAGAACCAGCCCCTCAGTCTACATATGAAGACATTGAGGCGGAGAGAAGTACCTTCTTGCCTTTCCTGTTAGCTCATGTCTGGAAGGCTTAGCTCCTCCTTCAGTCTGTCAGAGCCTCACATAGGGGCTGAGCATCTCATCTGCCTCCGAGGAGTGGGGCCTGGGTTGAGCATCGCTAGATTCACAGGCACTGTTGGTCTCTGTCACGTTCTCTGCCCGGTGTGCTGTGGCTGCTCTCCCTGTGGCATTCCTGGAGACCCCTGCAGTGCTGCTGGCTGACAGCGTCCCCTCTGTACCTGAGGGATTCTCTTTCTTATGGAGCCCTTGCTAAGGTGTGAGTTGGCATCTCTCAGAGCTCTAGCTTTCTTTTTAAACTTCGAATTGAATTCCAGCATACACACAGAAGACTGCACAGATCCTAAAAGCATGGCCTGGTAAATTGTCAGCAGTGAACATAGCTCTTTTCCTGCCAGATAGGGAAACATTAGCAGCATGCTAGGGCTTTGGTCTCATATAATCCAAATCACGCTCCTAATGTCTCAGAATTAGCCTCCTATTTTTCCTGTCCATGAAATTTGTTTTTAAATAATTTTATTGGGGCTCGTACAACTCATCGCAATCCATACATCCATCCATTGTGTCAAGCACATTTGTACATTTGTTGCTATCATTATTCTCAAAACATTTGCTTTCTGCTTGAGCCCTTGGTATGAGCTCCTCATTTTTTCCCCTCCCTCCCTGCTCCCCCCTCCCTCATGAACCCTTGATAATTTATAAATTACTATTTTGTCATATCTTACACTGACCGAAGTCTCCCTTCACCCACTTTTCAGTTGTCCATCCCCCAGGGAAGAAGTTATATGTAGATCCTTGTAATTGGTTCCTTCTTTCCACCCCACCCTCTCTCCACCCTGCTGATATTGCCACTCTGAGCACTGGTCCTGAAGGGATCATGCATCCTGGATTCCCTGTGTTTCCAGTTCCTATCGGTACCAGTGTACATCCTCTGGTCTAGCCAGATTTGTAAGGTAGAATTGGGATCATGATAATGGGGTCGGGAGGAAGCATTTAGGAACTAGAAGACAGTTGTATGATTCATCGTTGCTACACTGCACCCTGACTGGCTCATCTCTGGGTCCCTAATCTGCACACAGTGATTTGATGTTTTGTTCTTTTATGCCTGATACCTGATCCCTTCGACACCTTGTGATCACATAGGCTGGTGTGCTTCCTCCATGTGTGCTTTGTTGCTTCTCAGCTAGATGGCTGCTTGTTTACCTTCAAGCCTTTAAGACCCCAGACGCTATATCTTTTGATAGCTGGGCACCATCAACTTTTTTCACCACTTTTGCTTATGTTCTCATTTGTCTTCAGCGATCGTATTAGGAAGGTGAGCATACAATGATGATTTTTTTGTTTTTTGATGCCTGATAACTAATCCCTTCAGCACCTCGTGATCACGCAGACTGGTGTGCTTCTTCCATGTGGGCTTTGTTGCTTCTGAGCTAGATGGCTGCTTGTTTACCTTCAAGCTTAGCCTTTAAGACCCCAGATACTATAGCTTTTGATAGCTGGGCACCATCAGCTTTCTTCACATTTGCTTATGCACCCACTTTGTCTTTAGTGATCATGCTGGGAAGGTGAGCATCATGGAGTGCCAGTTTAATAGAACAAAGTATTCTTGCATTGAGGGAGTACTTGAGTACAGGCCCAATGTCCGGACATGTAGCTCTATTTCCCCATCCTCATATATATTTACATATGTACATGCCTTTATTTAGACCTCTATAAATGCCCTTTGCCTCTTAGTTCTTTCCTTTATTTCCTTTTACTTTCCTCTTGTCCCACTATCATGCTCAGCCTTCATTTGGGTTATATTACCCTTGATCACACCCTACCAGGCCTCCTACACCCTCCTCACCACTGATTTGGATCACTTGTTGTTCCCTTATCCCTGTGTTTGTTAACACCACTTCCTTTCCCCCAACCTCCCCCTCTCCCATATCCCCCTTGAACCATTGGTCCTATTGTTCATCCAGCCTATTATATGTAGACAGACCTGCAGAGATAATATGCACAAAAACAAGACAGCAAAACAAAGCAACAAAAGAAAACAAAACAATAACAACAATAAGCCAATGATAAAAAAACACACCCAACAACAACAAAAAAGAAAAGCCTGTAATTAGTTCAAGGACTGTTTGTTGGTCTTTAGGAGTGTTTTCCGGTCAAGTCTCATGGGGTGCCAAGCCCTGGCCTAAAGTCTATTTTTGGTATTCCCTGGGGACTTTGTTGCTCTGTTCCCCTTGCTGTTTTGTTGCATGCCCTTAGTGTTTTGCCTCGGGGTGGTGGGATCAGTTCGGGTGCAATTCCCACACCGTGTCTCCAGTGTTGTCCCTGTAGGGCTATAGGTCAGTGAGGGATGTCGTGTCTCATGGTGGGGCCGGCCATGTGGTCTCTCTGGATTGGCTGCTCTGAGTGGGAATATCACCAAGACTTGGTGGGCCAGGTTGTGCTCCATTCTCTCTTCCTCCCCCTTCATTTGCTCCCGTGTGCTCTGATCAGACATGTCTCCCTGAGCTGCAGCTTCAGTGCTGACCTCTGAAATAAATTCTGTGGGGCGGGGCAGGTGTCCATGTAGTTGGAATAGGGGCTGGCCCCTCAGACCTTTCCACTGGTTCCCTACTCCATGCCGGTATTTGCATTCACATCTTAGAGCACCGGGTTGGAGTCTGGTCCCTCTATCCCTATGGAGATAAAAACAATACCCTCCCCTTGGGTGCGTTAGTGTCCTATTCCCCAGCTTCCCATTTCTATTTTTTTTCCTTTCCCCCACTTCTTTTTAGTTTGCTGCCATATTTATCCCTGGATTTGGTCTGACCCCTGCCATACTACCTGATATTCACCCCAGGAATGTTTGTATATAGTAACTTTTTCCTTATGCCCTTTTGCATTTTTTTTTTAAGCTTACCTCAGCAGATTCATAGTTGTCCTTGTCCTTGTGTGCTCGGCTTCCGCTTAGCATGATTTCCTCCAATTCTTCCCATGCAGCGATGTGCTTCATATGTTCCTCACTGCTTTTTAGCGATGCGTAGTTCTCCATTGTATGTATGTACCACAGTTTTTTAATCCAATCGTCA